GCTAAATCGCTCTTAGATAGATTGTTAGCCAATTCGTACCGAGATTGCTTCCAACCCTTTTATAGGACCCTTTGGTGCAACAGTGAATCTCCATCTCTTAGAACAGAGAGGAGGATAGAGTGGTGCAGGGATGACGTATTTTTGATAAATGCACGTTTTGTTTAGCTGGATAATCTCCACATGTCTACCCTACTTTTATCATTTTCGAATCATAAATCTAATCGCCAGAAGCAAAATGCTAACGTTATGCTATAAACGAACTACAGCAGAGGCGCACGACTTCAACGTCACACCAACTTAAGATCCATATTCAAAAATACAGATTCAAAATGGTACAAGTTGAAGCGTTTGTTTTAACAGTTTGCAGGAGGCAGGTACTTGCTTTCAAGCCGAACAGGGGCAAACAAACTTAGCGGGAGTGTTTTACTGTTCGGCGTAATGACGTACAACGTCCTCGACAACTTCTGTAGTCCTATTCAGCCACTTGTTAACAACCATCGTTTTTCAGACACGTAAACTCTTCAAAAATCACCAGTGGGGTCACTGCTGATGTATTTCATGTCGTAGAACAAAACGTGATCCGTCTCTTCAATGTGTCTCAACCACAGACCTTATTTCCAGATATTTTCCAAAATCCTATGGAGAAATCCCATTGACTCTGAGACGTGGCAAAATGCTAACTCACTTCCGGGTTTTAGGACTCGTCACTGCACCACTCTATTGTGGAGATACCTTTTAAAATCTCCCTAAAGTTCCCTAAAGTTCATCCTTCTGAGACATACTGTGTTAAGAATACTTTTCAACTTTTACCAGCAACTGTCTTCATCCTTTGTCATATTTCCCCACATCTGTCTGCTGGTCTTGGCTACAGGCAGGACATGATGACACATGTGGGTCATCACATGTATTCATCCGGGAGAAGGGTAGTAACGCTGAGGACTCACAAGACATTGTTACCCAGGAGACACTTCTTCTATAGTATGCCACAAGGGATTGTTGCGTCCAACAGTGACATGAAAGATGTGGCTCATTGCTGAAGGCTAATCTGACCTGACAGAGGGGCGTTCGGGGTGCAGAGAGAGGGGATATATCGCGAAAAATAGCCCAACAACTCACCCTAACGCTAACCAGTGTCAGCAAGCCGTGAGCGTTTTATCAAACCATATAAAGCGAATACAGGTTAGCCTTTTTCTCAACTTTTATTGGGTCCTTGAGTAAAAATAATGGTTGAATAAATGAATGAAATAAACTAAGAGCTTCAACCTCTGGGGAGCATGAAATGACCAAATGTTAGTGTAAAAGGAAATTGTCACAAAATATATTAAGATTCATCCTCTGGGGACCATGCATATCCTCGGCAATATTCATATCAACCTAGCCAGTATATAAATCATACATGAATGGGAGAAAAAGTCTAGAAAAGCATGTATTATTGAAGAAAATAACTGAATAATACTCTGTTTGGAAAAAAAAGGAACATCTCCTCCCAGGCTAAGAGAGCCTGTGGAGTCATGACTTCTACTCTGCCACTGACTGTCAAACGGCTCCCATGCCTCACTGTAAAGGGCAGGGGTCACCATGGTTACAGCGTGACTGACAGGTCCCCTGACAGGGAGTTCCACATGAGCTCCTTCCTCGTAACGTCGTGCCGAAATGACTCGAGGACAGTAAGCCTGGAAAATGCTTCAACACGCAGCATTTATTTTCTATTAATATCATTTCCTAGAGGTTGTTTCCATGTCTGTCGCAATAACGCAGAAGAGTATTATAGGATTAGTGAGAACATCTTGCATTAGGCGCCATGTTCATGCGTTCTTCATGTGGAATGTGTCATTCATGGTTTATTTTGTGCAACTAAGAGAGTTTAGTTTGAAGGGTACTTAATCCTCTGAGAAATTTCCACCATCAAGGGACATTTTGAGACATGTAAAAGTGGTTTGGAGAAAAAACAATAATTTGGAAAGGTAAGGGGTAGATGAAATGTTTTAGTTAAAGAAGACGATATCAAAAGGCAGATTAATACTCAATGCCATTACAGTGGATGTTGGGTGAAAAGGGGAAGAGACGGAGGACCATGTACAGCATGTACTACATGAGAGGGGGTGCGTTTTTTCTCTTCCAACATTTATGCTCTGAGGCCAAATGTTTTGACCTTTCTCGCCACACCACATGGTCCCCTCTACCTGAGCGCTGTGTAAGCCCCCGGCCTCCTCCTTACTCCCCCGCGCTCCCCCCAGCCGAGCAGCTCACCCGTGACACTCTAATCTACTTGGAGAAGTGGAGTCCGGGTTTTTCGCTCGCAGCTTTTCTTCCTCCTCTCTCCTGCTTTTCATAAGTCGTCGATGTCACTGTCATTACCCTCCTGCAGAGCACACGGCTGTCCTTGTGGCAGAGCCCGGCCGTATTCACACACTCTGTCTCTTTCTGTTTGCCCCCGACTGTGTGGATTTGCCCATTGGATCAGATTTATTCAACTAAACTTGGATTCAATATTTAACGTGATGGTAAAGAAGCAGTTTAGAAGTCTCTGCAGTTACATTACTGCGATCTCGACAAAGCTGCTTCATCTCCACCTTCTCACTACCCCACCAGTGCTTTTCACTTTTTTATTTATGTGCATCTCATAACAAAGCAGTATTAAACTGCCAAGACTTTGAGGAAATTGCTTTTCTTTTACCATGGAATTATCTGAGAAGGCTTCAGGCAGTATCCTCTTAAAAAAATAAAAACAACCATTACATCTTGCCATAAGCTTTCTCTATGAAACCTACAAATAAAACCTCTTGTAAACCACTGACTTAAGCTCAGCTAAATCAACTCTGCAGGTGTGCATGTGGAGGTTGATGTAACCCAGAGTAAATGACTCATACAGTGTTTAGCTCTGACTAATACCCTTCACTCATCAAGACTGATGAGGAAAACAACATCACGAAGAACAGGAGATAAGGTGTCTCCTGAGTCTTAATGCTGTAGTTCTTGTTTGATTCATCCGTAAATATTTAGCTCTTTCCCTTGTTGCTCATCTGGAATGGAATATGATTTGGGAGCAGCGCTTAATCTGTAAAACAATCCTCAGCTTTAAACGTTATTGTGTTTTTTGTCTTTGTAAGTCATAAATCATTATTCTTTTCTTGCTTTGATCAAACAGACTACAGGTGAGTTTGAGTCTCCTCACCCTGGTTATTGCTCCTTTTGTGTGTGGTCTTTCTTCAGGAAAGAGATATTACAGCTATCCTTTTCCTCAATCAAATCCTCATCGCTGCTTAACACTGTATCTTTGCCACTAAAGCCACACACTACATGAGTGTGCTTTTACTGTTATCTGATTCCTACTCTGTTTAGTTTTGACTGTGTATTTCCTCCCACTTCTCTCTGTGTTTTGTCAGTTTATTGCTCTTTTTTTATGAGGATATGCCTGTAGCAAAACGGCCATCCACTCCACAGCCAAAGCACTACAAACATTGAGTTTACAAAAGTCACATAATCAAATTCACCATCATCAACCGGCCGCCTGTGTGAAACATGAGGTTTTAGAGATGGAAAGAGAGTGACCAGGTTAATGGCAGGACACACTATGTTTTATATTGTCAGCACTTTGTGAAACGTCACATTAGAATAAATCAGGTCCCTCTGTGCTACGTGGGTCTTCAGTTTGTCTTTTTTGTGTGTTGGTGTGGCAACATTTGTTACTAAATCACAATTGGGTCATTTATTATTACATTACATGTTACTTGTTAGACGCTTTTATCCAAAGCGACTTACATACTCAATACTGTGGGCAATCCCCACAGGAGCAATTTGGGGTGAAGTGTCTTGCCCAGGGACACAACGACATGCTGACTGCAGTGGGGTTTGAACCTGTGACCCCCTGATCCGAACACCTACGGACAACCCACTACGCCACACGCCTCCCTATTATGATTTAGCTAAATGTTAGAACACATTTCCTCTGCCTTGTAGTGAAAGCTTGATGTGGTTTGTGTCAGTTACACTCAGGATGTGGGAGTTTTGCTCCACCACTATGTCAAAATGCATCTGTACAGCTTTCTAAGAACTGGACCGGGGTGTCTATGACTCATTATGGACTGGTGGGGATGAATCTGTTGTGTTTCTGCTGTCAGGAAGTGTTCAAATGTATTATACGATATGATAAGATAATACTTTAATGGTCCGATCAAGTCTGAAATTTGACTTGCATCACAGCAGCTCCATGTGTAACATCAACATAGACAAATATCAAGAAACAATACATGAAAAGCAAACAACAAATGTTTAACATAACAGCACAATCACTGAGAGAAAACATGCTCAAAGACCCTTTAGCTCTGTATTCACTGTGAGGGTTGACTGATTCACAAAGGAGTGCTTCAGTCTGACTTTATTGAATCGTGGGCCCCTGTATCTCCGATGAGATGGTAGCAGTTCATATTCGCTGTTCAGAACATGGTTTGGGTCCGAGATGATGTTGTTGGACAGCCTTATTAGGTTGTTATGATAGGCTGAGTCATAGAGTCTCTGACAGGGTTGACCAACAATCTTTGAGCAGATTGGAGCAGTTTTGATTTTTAAGCTGTTGACAAACACTTGTACCAGGTAGTATGCATTACATTAATGCACACAATGTTCATACTCCTAGATGCACATATTCTTATTTCACATTTCATAGTTTATATTCTCAAATTCATTCATAGCATTCTATTTCCATGTAAATTACTGCTTTATTTAATTTGTATTGCTATTTAACTGTATTTTATTTTATTACGGTGTAAAAGATTTTGTGTTTTATATTAGATTTCTTGTTTTTTATATTTTATGTATGCACCATGACATCAAGTCAAATTCCTAGTATGTGCGAACCTACCTGGCAATAAACCTGTTTCTGATTCTGATTCTGATATTGCAGTGCTGTAGAATAGACAAAATCACAGATGTAAAGAACAACAGTTATGAGTGCTATTCTAGCGATGTTAATCAATGTCTCTCCTTTTGTGTTTCCTCAGACTTGCGGCGGATGACGGCAGGTTTCATGGGCATGGCGGTGGCCATCATCCTGTTCGGCTGGACCATCGGAGTGCTGGGCTGCTGCTGGGATAGAGGCCTCATGCAGTATGTGGCCGGCCTCCTCTTCCTCATGGGGGGTGAGTCACACTCTGGAGAGGTCATAAACTGACTAGCTACGCTTATGCTACGCTAGGCTAACCCCTTTCCTCTGTTAGCTCCGTGCTTTTGCGACCATTAGAAATGCTCAAACTAATGACCAATTACACAATTCCTGTGACAAGTTGGAAAGAGAATATAATTCTAATGTGGGAAAGTGTAGTAATTTCAGTGAGCATATCCAGCCACTGCATCCCTCAAGCACACACACACACGAACACACACGCAACCCTGTGTGTCCTAGTTTCTGGCAGTGGGCAGTCAGTAGTAGCCTCACACACACATTGACATGCTGTGTGCTGGCAGAAGGCGACTGCACACTCAATTATGATGGGCTGTGGATTAGTGTTGTGCCCTACAGTTGTATAATGAACAGGCAATTAAAAAGTCAATTATTTTGCTTGGCAATAAAGGCACAAGAAATAGCTTGGGTCAGTCTGCAGTGGCCAAATCACTGCAAAGCCGCCCGAAGGGTCACAGCTCTCCCAAAATGAGGCCAAATGTAGCGCTGTATCTCCAAATGCTCCGACTAAACACATTCCAAAGTAATAGATTCATTCAGATGGGATAAAGTGGACTGATTACTAAAACATTTTGCAATTTGAAAAGTAAGAGATGTCAGCAGTTTGGTGGCATGTTCTCCTTGAGATCTCTTGGGTTTTTGCCAAGAGTTAAGTGTAGCAGAGAGAAATGAGACCACAATGTAACGCAGATCATAAATACCTTCAAGGAGAGACTGTCTAGAAGTGTGCACCATCGTTGCCATTAGCATTAACTATGGTACTGTATGCTTTTCACCAATTACATTTTCGGCAATAAACCAGAATTTTTAGTGTTTAGTGGAAGATACATATCCATATATCTTGGTTTAATATGCATGAGGTCAACACTGACTTAAAATCACAAGCTGGCATGTGTTGACGTCCTCAATATTTAACCATATCAACATATTTTCCCATGGATCATTGCAGGATGTGACCTTGCACCAGATAACGAATAGATGTCAGGGTTGCCACAGATTGGGTTTAATTTAATTGGATATGGAAATGCTTTCTGACATGGCCAACATTTTATCTCACATGCCTTCCCAGATATATAATTCTGTCAAGGACAACATGAAACATGGCCACTATAAGCTAGTGAGAAAAAACAATAAAACCCTGTCCTAATGAATTAAAATCCAGCATCTTTCCTTTTTTCTCTTGTAGATGGGTTAAATGTCGACAGGTTTTCCACAATCTCTACTTCTGTCTCTGTTTACTGGTGGATTTCTGCCATGTTAAAGGTGTATCCTATGACATCATCTGACATAAGTACGCTTTTCGTAGCCAAACCGGTTGATAGTTTTGATTGTTTGCCAAAGAGTTACTTGACGATTGACTGGAAACAGGACTTATTTGACAGAGTCTTAAAGGTCACCTATTATGCAAAATCCACTTTTTCATGTCTTTTATACATAAACATGTGTCCCCTCAAAGTTTCAGGAAAAAAGATTCTCTCACTTTTTGTCCTGATCCATTTATATAAAAACCTGTCTGAAAATGAGCTGATCAGATTTTGGCCACTTTATGATGTCATAACGATTGTTTGGCTTGTGTAACCATTAGCCAATCACCAACTAAGGTAACACCCCCCCCCCTTATCACCTGAATCTCCTCCTAGAGCACCATTGTGTTCTTTTTAACCAAACATCTCTCAGAGGGGCGTGGGGAGGGGCTCCTTATTTTCATCTAAACTAACAGACACAGAATCAGCACTTTTGAAACAGGGCTGAAACAGAGGGGATTATGGGATGCTACAATGCATGATCTGTTTGGTATTTGGAGCCAAACACTTCAGAGACATGTTTTGTATATATCTGAGACCTATAATATATTGATGAAAAACAGTATAATAGGGGACCTTTAATGTGTTCCTTCAACGTTCTGTTTTGTCTTTGCAGGAACGTTCTGCATCATCTCCCTCTGCACCTGCGTTGCCGGCATCAACTTCGAGCTCTCCCGTTACCCAAAGTACCTTTACGGCCTGCCTGATGACATCGGCCACGGCTACGGCTGGTCCATGTTCTGCGCCTGGGGGGGTCTCGGCCTCACCCTCATCGCTGGCTTCTTCTGCACCCTGGCTCCTTCTGTCCAGCCCATTCCCCGATCCACCTGCCCCAAATCCAGACAGGAGAACGGCACCGTCTGCTAAAGCTGGCAGCGTTTCCGACGCCGATAACAAACAGAGAAACTGTTCCACGTCTTCATCCTTCCACTCATCTCCAGTCTTTCCTGGTTACAGATTTCTTTTTTTATTTGTGTGTGTGTGTTGGGTGTCTTGATGATCTTGAAATTAACAGAAAAAACACTGAAGAACTAAAGAAATATTATCAAAAATGTGAAGTTGTGCTTGTTTTGTTGTTGTGGAGCAGACACCGAAATGGACCTTGACCAAGAAAAAGGTTTCGAAGGAGATATGTGGAGACAATGAAGGACTACATTTTGGATTGGTGATACCAAGAGGGGCTTTCGACCCCTGAAGGTGACAGACAATGGTGTTGAATCTGGGAACAGCTTCTATAAACTGGCCTACTGTGAGTGTGGAGAACTCAATAACTCAACAGTATTGGACGAAACAGTTTAAATTGTTAAGATCAAGTTTCTGTTGGACTTCTTGGAGCCTCCTTTGGGATCATTCACAAGGGAATGGACCAGACTTGAAACTATTTGACTTGCTTGGATCATGTTAAGTGGCCATCTGTTCCAGTATCTATGGCCCCTAAAATCGGGACATGCGAGCAGCGAGGAGACCCAGGACTTCCACTGTTGTACATTATTGTACAGAATATTCTAGAGACAACCAGGAACCGTCATGTTGGACCATTTTCATTCCCGTGTAGGTGCATTTCATTCTGTCTGATGACCCCATCTGCCATTTAGCATTTTATACATGCGTTCCTCTTTTATTCGACGTGTATTATCCTTTTTATCGAGCTCTCCATGTTGTGAACGAACTGAGTGTACGTTCGGAGCAAATGTTTTTCCATCGTAGTCATAGAGTGATCTGTGTGTATGAGTGTGTGTGTATGTGTGGGGAGGGGGTTTGTTTTGCAGTCTCTACAGAAAAAAGTTGTAAAAAAATGATCATAGTGACAAAGTGGAGCCCTGCCTTGGGGATGTATAAAGGCAGGAGCTTTGAAGAACAGAACGGCACAATGGAGAGATGTAGTATCCTGTTAAACCCAACTGACTTCTGCCTTGTCATCTTTTTCGGGAGATTCCCAGCACACATGGCAGATCAAGAAGCGTTTGTTTTAAAAGGGAGAAGCATATTCCACTCTCTGCTGCCCCTGTGGGAGGCTCGAGTAATCGCATCCGACGACGCTCCGCCTTTACTTCCTGGGAATGTGTGAAGCTCTGCTGTTTCTCCGAGATTCTATATTTTTCAGGATCAAAGTCCAGGGTTAAAAGTGTTCACCTTACCCAGCGAATACATCTAGACTGAGTAAGAAAGTGTTCTGTATTAGCAAGATTCTCCAAGGCCTCAGCCCCCAATCACAAGTCAGAAATCAGTACACACTAACATGGGCTTGAATATTTTTATGTACATTAGGGATGATGGTAATAATCGAATTCTCACCAGGACCAACTGGTTTAGATACGGACATCCAGTCATTAGAACTATACAATACAGCTTTCACTATACTTTTTCAGCTTGTGGGTTCGTAACAACTGGACAACCATGATATGGGTTGATAAAATGCGAAACGGTTGTTTACGGAAAGAATGCGTCAACATGTGTCACTAACCCTAACCCTAACAAACAACAACAATCGAGTCATTACATAATGTAATCCAGGGACTATCTGTCAATAAAATGAAATAAATAATCTAAGTTCAAAATAAAGTGGAGTTTTTGTGAGACAGTACATTACATTTGTCAACATTGTGTGATGGATAACATATTTAGGGCCCAGTAGTTAACACTGCTTTGGTTGTCACTGTTTTTAATCTGTTGGTCAACATATTCAATGTAAACCACTAACCTTGCAGCTAAACCTCAACTAGAGACCAGGAAAACGGGATATGACAGTCAGTGTTTTTAATAGTAATGTCGTTGTTATCTGAAGACATCAAACAGGGTTTTTTGTTTTTTATCAGAGCTGTATTGTCCCATTATCTGGGGATACTCATGTTCTTTCATGTCTGTTTCATCATGGAAGCCTTCAAACAGGCCTCTTAGACGAGACCAGAGATCATAAACTGGGGTATACTATTCTTTGTCATTTTTCCCAATGCCTTTTTTTAACGTTTGGTATAAATATTTGGGGTAACGCAGGTGGTCAAACTCAATGTCAGAACCATTAAGAGGAGTAAGCTGGTAAACACCCTGGCATGGATTTACAGTATGTTAGACGAACAGATTGAACCATGACTCACCCAAACAGCTGGACTCCCTTCCAGATGTCTACCAACACATCAGCCCAACAGCTGGGTCACTGACGACGAAGTTTAAGGACAGCGATACTTCAACTTCCATTGTGGACTGATGGTAAAAACTAGAATGATCTATCAACCTTTAACATCAGTAATGTGTCTGTTTAGTAAACATTAATACAATTGGAAAAAAAAAAAGGAAAATGTTCAACTGTGGAATGTAAAATCACAACAAAATAAATCTCATCGGTGTGTTTACTAAAACTGCTGGTTGTCGTGAATTAGTGAGAAAGAGTCTTTGGTCAAATGTCATTTTACGGGGGAACAGGAAGAGTGTTCTCAACAAGAGCAGAGGATGGTTACCTTAAAGGTCACCTGTTATGTAAAATTCACTTTTCATGTTTCATGTCTTTTATACATAAACATGTGTCCCCTCTGTGTAAAGAGATTCGGAAAGTTTCAGGAAAAAAGATTCTCTCTCTTTCCATTTATTTAAAAACCTGTCGAACGAGCTGATCAGATTTTGGCCACTTTATGATGTCATAATGTTTTTTTGGCTTGTGTAAACATTAGCCAATCACCGACCAAGGTAACCTCCGCCCACCTTATCACCTGAATCTCCTCCTAGAGCACCATTGTTTTCTTTTAAACCAAACAGAGGGGCGTGGCCAGCAGCAGCTCATTACCATTTAAAGCTACAGACACAGAATCAGCACTTTTGAAACAGGGCTGAAACAGAGGGGTTTATGGGATGCTACAATGATCTGTTTGGTATTTAGAGCCAAACAATTCAGAGACATGTTTTGTATATACCTGAAACCTATAATATGTTGTTTAAAAATATTATAATAGGGGACCTTTAATATTGCTTACTGGTTATATGGATACAAGTCTTCGGTATTTACTTATGTATATTATGTCCTAGAACAAAGCGTGAACATAGGTAAGCTTGTTTTGACCACAGACCCTATTTAAGGCTTCTTACCACATACACATTTAAATGTAACTTTAATATTCAGCTGAGGGAACCCGGAAATGCTAAAATGCTAACTCCCCTAATTTCCCAGATTAAGACTCAATCCTGCAACCCTCTATAACTAGGCACAATATCAGTGCTTCTCCATTGAGGCAGGTCCAGGACCAGTTCAGAGCCAAAGCCCATTCAAACCAGTTTTTCTGTTTACACTTCAGAGGGGCCAACTCCGGCACCAAATCCAAGCCTCGCCAGCACATAGACCCAAGTGAATACAGCTAAAAGAAGAACATGTTGTAGAATTTTAGAAATTTGTTGGAGAAGTGCTGCTCAATCTTGCTTTGAGTTAGCTCGGACGTAAGGCAAGTTTGCGCTAATGGGGAATTGGAGAATTGGGGAAAATCCAACCTTCTCTTCCTGTTTTAACTTGGGACGTGATTGTAATATGTCCCTGGAGGTTAATTCCACTACAAAGGAGGATAAATAACGTCCAAATAACACTCTTTTTATTTTCTCTTTTATTTAATATTTAGTTCTATGTTTCACTCCTCCGCTCTTCATTTAAGACATGATGGACATTGTGAAAACATGTTAGATTGAATCAGTGTTTTAAGCGTTCAGTATTGTTAAAGTTTTCTGGACCTTATGAAAAAAGGACGATTAACTTTGAAGCTTTTGGATGATAAAGGTGTTCATGATGATGGTTTGGGTTGATCTGAAGCTCTACTTTCCCAGCAGACCTATAGAATCAACCTTCTGAAATGAAAATGGAAAAATAGAAAAGTAAATCTTGATCTAAAAACATTTTTTTTTAAATGTTTTAAATAGAGCTCTTTACTTTGAGTTAAAGGTGGAGTCTGGAGAAAGATTGTTGATATTCTCCTTGGTCGTGTTAAGACTGTAGCTAATAGTTTCTTCCTTAACATTGACATTCTAATTATTATTATTATTAATAACCTATGCTGAGATTCCATTTAAGTTGAACTTTTCTCTGTGCTCCACAGTGCCCTGACTGCGATGTTTTTATCTGACAATATTCTGCTTCAGTTTGTTTTTGTTGGTTTTTAGTCGTGCAATAGCTACTTTTTCACTGAGGCCAACACCGCTTGCTCTCCTGCTCCCACACAAGATGGAAGAAAGCACCTGTATTCACAAACTCTCAAAGCTATTGAAATCCTAAATATCATTTTTAAACGTGAAAAAGAATATCCTGTACAGCCCTGGTAGCTCAGTCCGACTCACTTTCTTTGTTTTTATTCATGGGGGCAGGCCTATTTATAATCCTAGATGTGTTTTCAGCACACACTAAACTGAAAAGGTGTGTTGGATTAGAATCACAGACTCCACCTTTACATATGTAACAGCTGACACGTTCAACATATAAAGGCTAAGATCTCTCCTGTCTGAAGAAGTACAGATCACCTGACCTCAGAGCAGCAGTGACTGCCTCTTTAATGTCAGCAGTCCTGATGCAGCTGAGCTTTAAGCTGTCATGTGAATCTGGGACGAGGGTCTCTGCAGACGGCTGACAGGGGGAACCATAGACTGCTGACCCTCGTCTGAGAAACTCCACTTCCTGTCCAGCTCCAGCCCTCTGATACAGAGGCTCGGCTGACTTATCTCCCATGACACACGGGGGATTTCTACCCAGATACACACCTTTTGTTTTTGTAGCATGTGGAACAAATCCAAACCTATTTAGCGCCCACGTCTACAAGGACAACAATTATAACAATTCATGTTTTCAGAAACCCAAAGCAGGGTTAGGGTTACCTAAACTATTATTTTTTATACTTTTTAATTCCATGCATTTCCGTCGTTAAATCCTGGCTCCTATTACCCACAATGCAACGTGACCACTGGCAGTTTATTCAGGCGTGTTATGATTACCACTATGATATATAGCTGGCATCTACTTTTAAAGTGATTTGACTCCTGATTTTTATAGAGAACTTCCCCCAGAAAATGACTATTTGCATATCAATGAGCCAGCCCATGTTGCCAATGTGAAGGAAGGATTCATAAACCTTGATGAATTGAATGCAATGGCGACTTGGTTTAGCAAAAATAAGACTGTTAATTTAACAATTGGTTGCATAAGACTTGGGTTATTCTGCCCAAGTAGTACAACAGGTGGTAAATAAATGCGCCCACTAACTTCAATTCATCAAGACATTCTTTGGTTTTCTTTTTATTCTTCACTCATTGCTTGAATTCAAGGTCACACAGGTGCCAAATAGATATATATATATATATATTATCTTTTCTCCCTTATGCACAAATCTGATCTGCTCTTATAAGGCTGCTATATAAGGCTAATGAACATTAAACCCTAAGTGATTGTGCAATGGGAGGGGTCCACACGTCTGGATCAGCGATTACTTGATAGGCATTATTTTCGCAAGAAATGATAATCTGTTTTGCCAAAGACCATTTTCCACACTGTCGCAGGCTAAAAGCACTACCCACATTGAAATGAATGGGAAAACAAATGTTGTTTGAATGGATTATGAATCAGTGCATGTGCACTCTCAAAAGTAGACTTGTAGATTAAGTTACAAATAGTTTTGAGCTCTCTCCAATATCTTGTTATTCATAACTGTGCTGCTCCTTAAACCCTATCAAACTAAACCTTCAGTAACTTGATTAGCAGTTGATTCTCAGATGAAGTTTTTCTAAATGACTTTTCCTCAAGAGTTAATGAAAACAGCTTTTGATATTCAATGGTAAATCACATGAGTCAGCAGGTTTTATTTCAAAGCATCTCTCAAACACACTTTGTCAACATGATGTCTGTAATGGACCATGTGGTTACAAATACTTTTTCAGATTCAGGAAATGGCTTCAGATCGTTTCTCTCTCTGTCAGCAGGACTTCCTGATCATAATGCATTAGGGGGGGGCGGGGGTAGCTTGAGACCAAATCGAACAACCAATTAGAAACCAAGACAAGAAACACACAAGCTCTTGTGGAGAAAGAAATATTATATTATATTATTAGTCGTTAATATTTTTGTATCTGCTGATTGGCCATGGGTCATGTGATTTGTGTAGGGTCCCTAATGGCGGTCGATATCGGCGCTCTGTAGCAGGTCTGCCTGCAACTGAGTGGGGGGTCTGAAGGCTGTCTGGAAGCCGGGTGGGGGGGAGTGGAAGTGGGTGCTGGGGGTGGAGAAGTGTGCCCAGCTGGCTCTGTGGGGGGGGGGGCTGGCCCCCGTAGGAGCCGTTGTGTGAGGCGGAGCTGGGCGGGGGGGGATCGTTCTCTGTGAGCGTCTGCAGGGACTTGAGCCAGTGGGGGGGGTTGTCGTCCTGAAGAGAGTCTACACTGTTGCCGGGGGGGAGTCCTGCAGGGGGACAGGAGACAGTTACTCACACATCGATAGAAATGCTTTTAGAAGACAAATGAATGACATTCAGTTGTAATGTCTTCATCCTCCTAGTTAGTGATGTAGCACAATGACATCGGCACAGCAGATCAGACGTTAAAAGAGCACCAGAGATAATTCTATTTACCTCACACTCTTCTCCTCAGTCAGAAAGGTTGACTACATTACCCACAATGCATTTCCACCACAACTCGTCTTATACAGGTGTGTTGAGACATGAGGAGCTACAGAACTCAGGTAAGATCACTTCTTTCCAAAACCATACCTCAGATTTTTCGTAAAAATCCCCTTTCACAGAAATTAGCATACAAAATTGAGGATTTAAAAAAATAGAATATAAACGCTTAAACTACTACATGGAGTGGAATGAGTGTCAACTTTAGCCTGAAAGCAGATGTTGGGCAAGATGATATCTTTAAAGCACTTGCAAAAAAACATAAACTATAACTTACTCTCACTCTGCTGTAATCGATTTCCCCACTTTATTTAAAGATTAAGAGTCTATAAGAAAAATGCCTCATTCTTTGTTGATGGATGGATGTATGTGGCTATGGTACACAGCAGAGGTGGGACAAAGTCATTGTTTTGCAAGTCACAAGTAAGTCTCAAGTCTTTGCGCTCAAGTCCGAGTCGAGTCTCAAGTCAGGATGGGCAAGTTCAAGTCCAAGTCAAGTTCAAGTCAAGTCCAAGTCAAGTTCAAGTCAAGTCCAAGTCAAGTTCAAGTCAAGTTCAAGTCCTAAACTTTGAAACACCGAGTCTTAAACAAGTCATTATGTACTTTTCACCAAATGTAATGACATCCATCAACAGAATAATACTTAATAATCAAACTGCTCTTTATTAGTCGCATTCATAATTTAATAATCCATTTTCTCTCTGCTGGTAGAGTAATGTGTTTTTTTCTATTTTAAGAGGGATCAGTAAGGTAAGGCTACCGTGACGGTTTGATTCAGAAGGAGTTTAATGGATAAGATCCCTGATCCCAGGGATAATGTGCAGCGAGGCGTCTCTATGGGGAAAAGAACACCTGAATCTAGATCCCTCTGCAGGTGGTACTTTAAGTATATTTTGATGCTAATACTTTTGTACTTTTACTTGTAACATTTTGAATGCAGGATCTTTTATTGTAACAGAGTATTCCTACACTCTGGTACTTTTACTCAAGTACAAGATCTGAACTTCTCCCACCTCTGGCAATAAATCCTGAGTCGTTACTAAAATAAAAACCCTGCTCTGAAGGTTATTTTCATTTTACAAATCCTGCACTCAGCTTTGCTTTCTCCAATATCATTGAAATGCAGCCAGAAGCTGCTTCTTCTTTGGTTTTCGCAAATTTCTTGACTTTTTCCCAACGCGCTTGCATTTAAATCCGGCTCCCCGTCTCTCTGACGCTCTGCAGCTGGCCTGTACCACTACACTTGCTGTCTTTGGAGCGTCTGCCCCCCACCCTTCTTTCACATAATGGTATGATCCTAGTGTGTGCTCGCATATGATTGGCCGCATGGTGGCCCAAGCTAAATAAAGTCCCGCCCCTCCCTGCAAAGATTCTCAGCAAGAGTAGAAGCGGCTGGAGATTCTGCTCTCCCCGACGGGAGTCTGCTCTTCTACCGGCAGCTCGCGATCGACGTGTTGGAGACCCCGGAATTAAAGTATCAAGTCACCTCAAGTCAGAGGGCTCAAGTCAAGTCCCGAGTCCTTGCTGTTCAAGTCCAAGTCGAGTCGCAAGTGTTTTGAGATTTTGTCAAGTCGAGTCCAAAATCATCAAATTGGTGACTCGCTTAGAGATGTCCCTCCCATTAGCCTATCATGTACAACTTGTTTGAGTGCTAGCCAATAGAAACTGAGAGAACTTTTGGGATTTTGAGCCTAACAGAACATTTACAAAAACCTATATAACACCCTACAGGAAAGTGAGAGAAAAAAAGAAGCACAATAGGGCCCCTTTTTAAAAGGCTTATCAGGGGGCTCCTACCTGTGATGATGGCGGGGTCCATCCATCTGGGGGGGCTCTCCCAGGAGCGGCTGTGAGGAACACTGTTGAAGAGGCCCGGTGGCCCCGTGTGGTTGACGCTGGATAAGGAGGAGGAGGAGGAGGATGATGAAGAAGAGGAGTTGGGCTGTCCTCCAAAGTTGATGTTGATGTTGGGTAACAGCGCTCTGAGGCCGTCCTGCCACTGTTTCACATGTATGCTCTCTGCACAGCTGCTGCTCTCTGCACGGACACAGGGAGAGAGGAGGCTCATGGGAAACAAGCAGACCACCAGAAACACTGATACAGTATACACGATAAATACAGCCACGTCCTAAATGCTCTTTTTAAACAGTCAATCGCGAATAGACAGACTAAGAGTTCATTATGAGCTATATGCGAACATATTGTCATTTTATGTATCATTTCAAGGTTTCTATTTGCAAAGACAAACAGTAGTGAGCTTTTTGGGTTTAGTTAAGGAATAAGTCAACTAGATGACGAATCTGAACATTACACAGATGCCACATTTCCATTCTAATGTCACTACAAATGAGAGTAAAAAAGTATTGAGGCTGATGATGCCCTCAGAAACAGAATTAAATAGGTTTTCATTTCAGTTTCTATCCCCAAAGATAGTATAAAAAGACACCCCATCAGTGTGAGATGATCCACTGACATTCCCAGTTAGCTTCTTGCTACATGTTACATCACCTATTCACTGAGGAAAATCTTTGGAAGGTTTTTTTTTTTTTTTAAACATACGAGAACAACAAATAGAATTAATTAAAAAAAGGCAATCTAATGATCAAATAAAATGTGCCTGTGGTGAAAAGAGTCCAGAGTCCGGAGAGGCTGCAGCAGAGAGCTCATTATTCCTCTGCCATGTTTCCTCCTGTTAGCTGTGTGTGACGCTGAGGTTTCAGAGCTCTGTCTAATGACACGGTGCAGGACAGGAAGAGGAAGACAGCCTCTCCAGATATCATGGCTCCATAAATAATAAATACTAATAGACAGGATGTTAGTCTGCTTCCTCATTAAGCCATCTTCCTACAAGATGGCGAGGGAACAGAAGCCATTCAAATGACAGCATAATGCTAAATATTATTTATTCAACATATCTTGGGATGTTTTATATAAATATAGCCATTAAAGTTACCAGAGCCATAACCTAAGCATTGAGGCTCCGGAAGAGTACATTGATTTATTATTAGGGATAATAATAAATAAATTATTATCAATATCGATTTTAGATAAGATACTCTAATCGATAATTTGGTGCAAAAATGTAAGACGTTACATGAAAAGCTGTTAAAAGATTCAATAAGTTATTTTATTGGGCTATTTTTGCTGAAATAACTATAATTACAGTCCTTACGCTTCTTAAAAGTGGTAAATAAAGAAAAACAAAGACAACAAATACCATAAAAACAATATTTACAAAGAACATCGCTCTGGGATTTCTCGGTATATTTTTCGACACTGACCAAACAGGAAGTGGTACCAATTTAGTATTAATTCTACCCATCCCAATAACTATTTAAAGCTTTGGCATTAACCCCTGTCACACGCCCACTCCAAAAACATGAGTGATTAAGGAGAATACTTCCTCCCTCAGTACTGCCTCTTTAGTTTGAATCAGGCTGTCAGGCATTAGCAGCATCACCTATGTTTCCATTTGCATCCTCAGATAAACAAGTGCCGCCATGTTTAATTCATGAGAGCGAGAGCTGCCTTCCAAATCAATTTGAACCAAGATAAGCGATGCCACAGAGAGAGATTACTTTCCATTAGATTAGCTTTTGTCTTTTAGGACTGCTTTTAGTGTCTGTAAATGCCTCCTCATCGTCTCCAACTAGCATCATTTCACATCCATTAGCTTCCATTCAGATGCTGCCAACATCTCTGCGGTTCAGAGATGGTGAACAATTTCAAAATGAAAGAAGCTGCTTGGTTTGAGTAGCTTTCTTCTTCTTTTTCTGTGTGTTAGCATGCCTAGCTGAATAGCTAACTACCCAGAGTACTACACCAATGTTCCTCCCTACGTAAAAGAAGCATATCAAAACCCTGATACATTATTTTGTTTGTTTACATGTTGTGTTCAAATCTAGTACACATCACTTCCACTGTGTAGTATTCCCCAACTGGTACTGGATGCTAATTCAGAGTTGTGGCTAATGTTAGCACCGTCTACTCTGCTTTTTAGTTTACATTTTTGGCTTTTTTCGTGGACACCCTTGCAAGAATTCTGGAACAAATGTTAGGTGTGAAAATGTATCAATGTTTAGCTTTTATGGTAAAGCATTTTAGAAAGTCCATAAAAGACTCGGTGTGTGCTCTGATCCGTCTCGACCGCAATGAGCGGTGATTTGGGACGGAAGCTAAATCATTTCTTGTGACGGCATTTACAGTCAGATTATTTCAGTTCATGAGGTGCTTTTTGAAGGGGGATTTGCTTATAGAGGGAAGGTTTCAGATAATCCAGTGAGACGACAGTAGGATAAAAGATGGAAGAAAATGCTCAGGAACACAGAAAGAAATTCAGTCTGCTTTCTCAATATGTACTTGACTTACGAAACTGTCTGCTGTGTTACAACACTGCAGACAGTTAATGCTGTGCTGCCACCAAGTGGTCAGTGAAACACATTTTTACCCACAATGCAATGCACTAAATGACATCATGTATCTGTTCTGCAGACAGCCACTTTGGTGAATAAATTACCTAAAGAACAAACTACTCTGCATTCTATGTGGTGGTAAACTGCAATCCTCAACAAAATAAACTAATTGTAAATATGAATCCTTAATAACACATTAAGGCTTTAAAAATATCAAAAAAAAGTGAATGCTAACTTCTTTAGAAATCTGTTATCTGTTATCTGATATATAGATATATATATTTGTATTAGGGATTGTTGGAAAAGTTATTTTGATCTCTCTGTCTGTACACACAAACTGAGTAAGATTGACATTAAAGTTGACTTTGACTATATACTGTTGGAAAGAGATGATTAGCTTTCCGATGCTATCGTTATGGTATTGTACTCCAAACATGAAAATATGAAAGTCCCCTGTTCCTGACCCTGCCTGCCATGTCATTTCCTTGAGATATAGGGAGGGGGGTGCGCTGAGGAGCAAGAGCTAGTGTTGACGGTGATTGCAGAAATTCTCATCCTGTCTTTTCAAGCTTCAAAAATGTATTTATTCGCTGAAAATGATTATAATCATTTCTTATTCTGGAAGCAAAAATGTATTTTGAAATCAACCAAAACCCCATAATAACTAAGTGAATCACAAAATGACCTGTTCTGACTTCAGAGTGATGTTGAGAAAGCGTGTCAGGTGTGCTCAGTCTTACCTGCGATGGGGATTCCTCCGAGCCCAGTGCTGTGATGTCCCAGCAGCCCTGTGGAGTCCAGGAAGCTGCTGTGTGAGGTGGACGTGGTTAGACTGTTTGTGTGGTTCAAAGGCACAAAGTTTCTGCGAGAGGAGGTGGGGCCCATCCAGGATCCACAGGACGCAGAGGAGGAGGAGGAGGATGAAGACGATGATGATGTGGGGAAGCCGAAGGTGGTGTAGCCTCCCCTGTGAGGGTGTTGATGATGGGGGAAGTGGTGAGGATGTGGGAGGGGGTTGGGGAAGGGGCCTCTGTGTAGCGGGGGGGGCGAGGGTTCTGTGTGGGGGGGGGCTGAAGCTGTCCTCCACGGAGAGCTCCTTCTCGATGAGGTCAGCCAGAGCCCGGCGCGTGATGTCGAAGGGGTCGAAGCCAAGGTCGTCCTCCTGCTGCTGTTTGGACGAGCCGAAGCCAAACGCCGCCTGCCAGTCTGTGGAGGAGGACACCGGCATGGTGTCTGCAAACACAGGAGGGAACAGTGAGCACACCTCAGGAAGAAGTAACCCAACATTTGCTATGCTGGCTCCAAAATGGTGGAACGGCTGATATCAGGACAGCAGAAAGTCTACACATCAATCACACTTGTTTCTTTTGTTGAAGGATGAGACCCGAGTCAGCAGACCGTGGAGCCGATCTCCGTTTATTTACTGATATATAACTAATCAGTTGTTATTAAATTAGTTTTCCCTCACACGTGGAACATATTCACAAAAAGGGAAGAGGAAAACGTGAGGGACACAATATGAAGGGGGGGGGGAAGTCCTCACAAAAATAATTGTCTGTGTACAGTGACTGAATTTTGGAGGTTCCGCCCACTGACTTCAGAACTAGTCCGTTCTTTAACGTTTAGTAAATGAAGAACACAGAATTATTAAATACAGAACACAGAATTTGTGTGAAGAAGAAATATTTGACACCAAACAACACTGCATATTTACAGTTGTTACACACATCCTCCGTATCTTATCTCTACCTGAAGTGAAGAGGCTGTGCGGCTCGGGGGTGGTGGGCCACTCGGCGTTGCTGTGGGGGGGGGTGGGGAAGCCGCTCATGCCGCTGGGCAGGGGGTTGGGATGCCTGAAGTTGCTGTTGTCCGAGAACAGAGACTGGGACTCTACAGCCGCCGCCTCGAAGGGGGAGCGAGGCGTGTGTCCCGTCACGCTGAGGGGGACCATCAGCCCCGGCTTACTGAGGCCAGGGGGGGGCGACGGAGAGTCACTGCTGTGGAGCTGAAGCACACAGGACAGGTGAGCGGTCTACTTCTTATATCATTTATTTGATCTGGTTGTCTCATGTGGATGCTAGTTTAAATATATGACATTTATATGACCAAAACAGTTAATAACTGCAGAACAACTATTTATATTTAAAATAGGCAAATCATATCCCTGTTTTAAGATTATCAACAGGGACAACACATACTAACATTACATATTTGTTCTTTGAGTTTACTACAAAAGGCTCTTAGAACACATTCAATGCTTTTGTCATTAAAGTCCATTACTCACCAGTTGTGAGGTTTCACCGTTGCCTATACTGATGTCTGTCAGTTTGTTTCTGGGGCTGTCAAAACAAAAGCAGAGAAAATGTATAATTATAGTAAACGTAATTGCAAATTAAAGCGAGTCATTAGTAATGGCCAATTTACAAATAAACACTGGTCAGGTTAGAGTAAAGCCTGATAACAACAGGGAAGCAGCTGTAATGGGTTGCATTCACAGTAGCTTAAAAAGGATAAACAAGTGACACATTTGATATATTGATTAACTATTTAATTATAGTGAATGTATCCAAACAGGCAAATATGAAGGGAGTTTAGAGTCAGGATTATTTCCGAAGCGAGGTGAAATCTTGACAAATGAAATGATCTTAAATAACATTTTACAATAATGTATCATTTAGATCCACACTTGGAATGGCTGAAATGATATGCGAGTAGTTAGTGCCAATAGGTCAGTGCTACACATTTCTTCAAAACTTCAAAATATTTGGACTAATTCAGCTTTTGATCTAACTTTACCTAGCAAGCTCGTGGTGTGAGGAGAAGGGGCAGAGGGCCGGGACAGGGTCAGGGCTGAGATCAGGTTCGGGCCCCTCGGGGCTCAGGTGTTCAGAGTCGGAGCCATCTAGAGTGGGGCTCCTCCTGTGCTCTGAGGACAGCCCGTTGGTCATCCTCCCGTCTTTACTGGAGCTGTTGGACCTGTGGCAGCACACAGAGAAAGGCACACGGGTCAACACTGAACAGAACGGTTTAATAGAGAGCTCAAATATCTACATTCACAGTGAAATCACACAATCCCTGTGCTTCAGGGAACGATGTCACATGACTTCTGAGAGACACAGAGGCGCATGAATACCTCTGTAAAGAGTTGGCCTTGCCCTTGGGTTTGTCCCCTGGCACAGCGGGGGTCTGCAGGAAGGTGGGGTTGTTTTTGGAGAGGTCTTGAAGAAGTTTCTGCTCATACTCCTGATGCTTTCCCGCCTGCAAGCAAAAGAACACTCGAGCATGAGCTATGTAGCAACAGACAGTTTCTCTGTGACGACTGACGAAAATTAAGGAAATATATACAGGGGAGTATAGGTAAAAATTGTATTTACAGGTATATTATATATTCCTATATATGCCTCAGTACAGGTATAAAATACTATATGACAGTAAAAAAAAGTTGTTATTGTAAAATATGATTTGTAAAATATCCATAAAGAAAAAGAAATCTGCTTACAGTTCTGTTTCATATGGGTGTTGAGAGATGTATCCATAGATCTCTTCATGTTGCTCTCAAAGTGCACCAGACTGATGCTTTTAACTTCAACATTTAAAAAAAAAAATCGGACCCCCTAGAGGAGGTTAGGTCCGCCCCCCACTTAAATCATGTCCACATGGATAGGAAACTAAATACATTTGCACACATCTTGTGTCCATATCTTTCTGTTTTGATGGTCATGCCACAACCGTGCACGTGAATGCATGCGCAAGTCATGGTAAGATATCTGGATTAAGAGGTTGCTTTTTCTTTGCTCAGAATGAAAGAAATGGACTGTGATTTTAGTATTTTTAAGCAGAGGTCAATCATTTGTACGGCCCTCGGAGGATGTTGAAAAAATTGAAATGGCCCTTGAGAGGAAAAAGGTTCCCCACCCCTGCCTTAGTTGGTCACGTAAAGTATTATTTATCAGACTAATTTAAGCTACACATAGTTTGGATTTCTTGCCTGCATTTTTAGGAGTTATAATAAATAGTTGTATATAAAAACACAGAGGATTGTGTCAATGTTGATGCCAAGTTGACTGGATATTCTGAGCTTAAGTTAGGTCAGAAAACAAACCCACGTGATCATGGAATATTTCACTCTCGAAGATTTACGATAACTAGATAAGTTGCGTCATGCTGAACCCAGCTATAGTCTGCTAGTTTAGATTTGTCTTACATTTCTGATGCAAATTGAGTATAGAGTTTTAGTTTAGCTGTCTCCAGAGGCCTGTACTACGAAGCTGGTTCAACCTAACCTGGATATGTTTGAGTTAGCCGGTTGGCCCAATCCAAAACATACGCGCTCTCGCTAAACTGTACTACGACGCTGGTTATCAAGTGGATCGCTCAAGCCAGCCGTGTCCTATCTAGTTAGGTGCGCGTTCACATGAAAGGGGTGGTATTTGGAGCATTCGACCAATCTCAAACACGGACAAGCGTACTGACAGCGCAGCGTCATACTTCCTGAATGAAAAGTGAACTTTAATATTAGTCAAATATGAAGAAGTTAAACTTTAAACATCCATGACTTAAACACTTTATCCAGGATAAAAGCCACATAGCTGCACCTGCAAGGTGAATACAGCTGGTAAAAGAAAAAGCGTTTGAATGCGTACATTAACAGGTTTATGAAATCACTGCCCCGTCCAAGACACGAGTGGATCTGACTTTAATTACATTTGACTCGAGTGTTTCGTCAACTTAATGTGTTGCTTAAAATAATACTTCTGCATACAGTATGTGACACTGTGAGTGTTGCACGGCCAGATACGGCTCAGCTGACTCAAATAAGGAAATATATGATACATTATGATGTGATATGATATGAATAATGGGACACATCGACGTCTGCACTCACAGTGCCGCGGACTGTACTTAATGTTACTCTGATCCGGTTACTTATGTCGTGGCAGATATTTAAGTAAGCTTTCTTAACGCTAATATTATAATAGTCAGATTGCTCTGAAGATGGGAGGGGATATTCTATTCATTTTCACGTTCACACAGTCAGTTGATTTTGGCCGGCCGTCTTTCCTGCAACGGCAGTTTTTCTGTATTTCCTCTATCCTGTAATATGAATTGATCGCTTTAAACTCCGCACACGGAGCTCTGATTGGTCAGCAGGCGGTGCTTTCACTGAGTTGATCTCTTAGCCTGCCACCTAACCTGCTCCGGAGCAGGTTTGCCGCTCAGCATAAGTTACCATGGAAATCTAGCCTGCTAAAAAGAGAACCAGCGTCGTAGGACCGGAAAGCCCGAGATTTCCCTGAAGTTAGCCGGCTAAGCGAAAATCCAGCTTCGTAGTACAGGCCTCTGGACTGGACTTACCTGCATCTCCTCTTTAGTAAAACTGGCAGCCTCGTCCCCCAGCTCGTGGAGATACATGCAGTCTGGTTTGGGGCACTGCATGCTCTTTAAAAAGTAACTGCAGTATTTTGTTGTTCCTAAAGAAGCCTGCAAAACAAACGCTACAATCACAAAGAATTCACTCCATCCTTTATCAAATGATATTACATGTATGTCTCAGGCCTACCTTAAGTGTTCTGCTGTCCACCACCACATTGTTGACACACTGGATTGCTCTGAGAGCGTCTTCAGAACGAAGATATGTGACATAGGCACTGGCACTGGGCCCCTGGGAGTGAGAAAGAGACAGAGACAAAGCCAGAATTCAAATGTAGTTTCATTCATGTGAGCTGTGACACGCTGTTCACTGTGGGGGGGGGGGGGCCTCACCTGGGAGCCAGCGTATGATGTGCTGTTGTTGATCACCACTTTGTGAATCTTCCCGAATTTCCCAAAGTATTCTAGTCTCTTTAGAACCTGTCAAACAAATCATTATCACCATTATCGTCATCATCTTATTGGTGATGCAATGTGCAATGTGTGTCCTGTGGAGCTTGATTAGTGTTATACCATAGTGCTATATCGCATCTCTGACTATACCACTTGCTAACCTACTCTCTGAACTTTTTTACTGTTTACATAATAATGCATCATCATACTGCTGCTATTGAGCCTGACACATACCATTTGTGCATCGTTGAATGTAAATGTTAATATTGTTAAAGTTGCATGAGTCTATTTATCTCAATCTTTCTTCTCAATACATGTGTGCAATGCTGTTGCATAAACTCTTAGACTAAATCCTCTTTGAACATATGTATATACTGCTTGTGTTATACTTTATGCCTCCTCATCCTATCTTACATCTAATATTGTTTTTCATTTATAAAATCTCATCTTTAACTGCTGAAGTTGTTCTCAAGTCCAACACATGTAACTGAGCGTCCACACAGCAGCGTTAAAAAAAATCTTGGAACGCTTCTGCCCATTCACTTTGAATGGGGTCACTTTTCGCCGAACTGCATTGTGGGAAGCAGAGCGGAGATTTTCAGGATTTTCAGGATTCAAAAGTTGAGCAATGTTCAACTTTTGAATCTGAGGTGGACGCGTCAGCCAATCAAATCCCGTTTATGCAAATCTGACAGTTCAAGCGTTAGCCAATCAAACCGCGTGTATGCTGGGAGAGACATACCGCAGGTCATTTCCTCATATTCCAAAAAATGGAGGAGAAATTAGCGGTAGGGAATCACCCGGTGCTTTATGACCAGTCCCTATTTACCTACCGGGATACAAACCGGAGGAGCCAGGCATGGAGGGAGGTGGCAGAGACAGTGGTATGTTTTCGCCTGTTTGGGAAGTTTATATCCAGTTTACTTCGGGCTTTTTTGCTTTGTATGTCGGGGGCGGGAGATTCATGTGATTGGTTGTTGGTCGCTTTGCTCCGTAACTGTACAGTTGACCTGAGTGTGTGGGAGAGAATATTCCCTCTGGTGTGAACTCTAGGATTTTAGCCTTTGCAGACCATTTCAATTCAGAAAAACCACTAGAGGAAAGGGGATCGGGCCCCTTTAACTTGCATACAACTGATAAAGTAAATAAGTGTTGACTAGTTGTCATTGGACAATCCACATATCCAGATGTTCTTATTTGATGTGGTGCCTTCAGACAGCTTTCACTGCTGGAAATATGATTAATAGCTTCAAGATATTTCTGGCATGCAACGTCATGGTGATGCTGCTGTTGTTTCCAGGACTGCTGAGTGTGGGAGACGGTGGCAGACTGAACTGCTGCTGCAGGATTACATCCCATTCACTTAATGCTTATTCTAGTCTTCTGGGTGGTCACAGCAGCACACACACTGAACACTTGCTGTACTGTGTGTGTTATGTGTCGTCTCACCTCGGGGTCAGCCAGCCTCTGGGACAGCCCCACTACAAACACCAGGTTCCTCTGGACCACTCGGACGCTGGCCAGATGCTTCCTGTTCTCTGTGATCTTCTGCTTCTTCTCCGTCTGCTTCTGCTTCTTCTCGTTCTTTATCCTCTGCAGCTCCTCCTGTGACAGCGGCTTGTACACTGCAGGGTCCTCTGGGTACGGCTGCAGAAACACACACGTCATTCAAGGAAGAAATCCCAGAGAAATCAGATGGTATCACTATCCATTCATTCTTTTTTTATGACAACAGTGTGTAAGATCTCTTTGATGAGTAAGGAAATGTTATATGAAAGTGGCATCATATGTCTTTTTGATCCTGTCCCAGATTACATTAGGATTTAAGTGACCAAAATCTGATTATTTTTTGTATGATTCCACTGACAATAGCACTAGTTTGAAATGATATGAACATATATAGCGGTACAGACTGAAATGATGTTTACAACACACAATTTGGGTAATAATTGAACTGGTTAGCCAAATGAAATAGATAAACCTGGATTTTTCTTATTAGACTGCTGTTTCTTGACCTGTCTGATGTCAGGGTCATGTGACATTGCTCACAGATCTCTGCACTTCACTTCTGGAGCTCTACCTTTCTGCAGGCAGGACAGAGCCCGTTCTCGTCGGTCCTGATTCGATGCCAGCAGAAGCGACAGATCTGGTATCCACAGGTGCAGGGAAAGAAGTTGACATCATCGATCTCCAGAGGTTCCATGCACAGAGGGCACTCCATCATGTCGTCCTTTCCACAAGGGTGCCGGGACATCCTAGGGTTACGCACTACTGGGCCGACAGCTTTCACAGGACAGGAACAGGAGGCCTGAACTGGACCAGAGACACAACACAGGTTAGACATCCTAAGGTTTCGGTATCAGGCTGGAATTAAAGTGAATGGATTCTCCATAATGGACGAGGCCTTCGAGGTAAGAGGGTAATATTTAGTATTTGTGATTCAAGCAAATGCTATTCGTGTGTTCCTGTTTTTTCTCATCTATAGACCCGTTTTTGTTTAAATAATTAGTATACAGCTCTGGAACAAAATAAGAGACCACTGCACGATTATCAATTTACCTGGTTTTATTATTTTAAAAAGGTATGTATTTGAGGAATATTAACTTTCTTTTTCACTAAATGTCTTCCAAATTCTAAATAAAGAAATAGTCATGTAGAGAATGACTACAACTGGTCAAAATAACAAAAAAGATGCAGTGGTTTTAGACCTTGGATAATACAATGAAAACAAGTTTATATTAATTTCTAAACATCACAATACTTTTGTTTTCTAAATTAGGCAGAGTTAAGAAATCAAGATTCGGTGGAATAACCCAGAAACAGTATTTATGTTTGGAAATATGCTTGTTTGGGCGCATAACAGAAAGTAATCTAATTTTAAACAATGACTAGTGAAACCACTTGCGTGCTGATTTCCAGCCAATGATGTGAGGATTCAGTGAAAACACAATCTAATGATCTGTCATTGCATAGCTGTGTCACAGAGGGCTGCAGAGAAGATGCACAACTTTGTCTAAATCAGTCCTTGTGGCCAATTAAACTAAAACCCCTCTGCAGGCAGACACTGCTGGTTAATTGGCAAGAAATCAGGTGATTTCACAACACATGATTTACTTTAACGCATGGCTGGGCATTCAGCTAATGGACAGACAATGAACAAAAATAAAACGTAAAGGCTGTTTTCTTTCAGGATTTGAAAGTTGGATTTCAGACCTATGTTTTGCATGTTTCTGAGACTGATTGAACACTTTTTAGCTACTACTTAGAAATAAACGGCTGTGCAGGTTGACTCTGCACACCTTCATACTCACTACGCCCCTTTTGTGACAATGTGAGTATGTTGTGATATGTTTTAATTTAGACAATAACAATATCATGTTGAATAAACTAAGATTAGCTCCTGTTCACACAATTATATCTATAATATATCCATGTAGAGACCACAAACTTTCATTATTGATAGTTGAGTGTTCCAATTTGTCTGTGTTATGACTCCAATTAGCATTAGTTGTGTTCAAAGGATTAAGTTAGTTTACACATAACGTCTGAGACTATTTCCGATCACAGGAACTTCCTAGGTAACGAGTCCTGAGTTTTTTTTCTCCAAGAAATGTAGTGCACTGTAATACCATCTGCTTGTTTACTCTGCCTTCCTGCATGATTCCTAGGTTGGAAAACAGACTTTTCCTTCTTCACTTATTGCTGAATGATCTCAACTTACTTCACCTTAGCCCACTGCTGCAGAAAACATCGACCTTTGTATTGTGGTGAAACACAAGATGAAGAACCTTCTATCAGGGCGCAAGGCACAGCCTGGAATATCTCTATTTACATTGTGTCAATTACCCTAGAAAGTATTACCATCATTTTCCCAGCTCTAATGACTGAAAACAAGTCGCTGAGGCCACCACTAGCTAGTAGACACAAAAATGCAACACATGCAGAATGACGCTGATACAAATAAAGCACACACACGGAACTAATAAAGATACCTCTGAAGTTTGCTTGTGATGCAGTTATGACTTTTTCTCATTAATAATTAACTGAAATGTATTGTCTGTGTGTTCATAAAGAAACTGGTGAGCTGCATACAAATTGTCTGGCTCAGGCATGTCAGACAACAGGTCCAGATTGCCCTGATGCAACACACACATGTGAAATTACTCTGGCAACAAAGGCTGATCATATCACAGAAGTGCGGTTACAAAGATTGCTTCAATCTACTTGTCAAAACTGTACGTTACAATGAAGTTAATACATTAAGGACGTAAGAGCCTCATTGATAGCCCTGTGATTCTACTATCTGCTCAGGGCTAGCTTAAGGAGTCAAAGGAGAATAATGTCAGGTGTGAACACAGAAGTGACACTTAGAGACCTTTGGCTGAACGGTAGAAATGTATGAAGATAACTGTAATAACTCAATACGGTTTGTTGTGAAGTAATTTAATAATTGCTGTACAGGTGCTAGGCTAGGTTAGCGGGCTAAAGTGAATGAGCCTGGAGTGAACAACATTGGCATTAAATAATGAACAGTGCAATTACCTAACAGAGTATTTTTTTGATATTGTAACTTAAGAAAATAAACAGGATTATACATTTTGCAATATAATTAAATCTATGAAAATAAACCTGTGTCTAATACAAGTTATCTAAAGAGTATGTGTGGCTTTATTGAATTATGTGCCTGAGTATTATTATATTAACTTGTTGGCACACAGTAATAGTATATTAGCCATGCAATATCAGCATCATATTATACCTGTTATTACTAAAGCATATCTGTCTAAACATGTGTGGAGAATTTACTGAAAATACACCCAATTTCTTTGCATATATCATTAGTTCACTGTCATGTAGCAGTGTTTGACCCAAACAGTCATGAGTATGTTAAATTCCTAGATTGAATACCCTGACATTATAATAATACCGTCACAAAAGTGTTTACGGTAATTCCAGGCATGTATTTATTCAATTAGCAACCAAAGGTGCCATGTATCCTGACAACCTCTGGTGCTTAGCTGTACACATTCAGCCTTTGCACCAAAATCAATATGTGGCAGAATGATCAACAATGATTGTGTCCCCAACATATCTTTTCACCTGTCCCGGACTGGTATGTTCTTTTCTTAGTTGCATGGCTGAAACAGGACATGACTAAATGTGCTTCCCTATTCATCATATGGTCGGAGTAACGTTAGCTTTAAAGCCGTGTAAAAAGACTGAATGCACCATTACGTTTCAGGTAAATACCACCGACTGTATACAATGCTACCAGCACAGTTTATAAGCAGTGCTTAGTCCCCTTTTAGCTCAAATATAAATAGTCAACTGGGACACTGGTGTTATAGTCACATAGTTGTAATAAAGTGTGAAATAGCGAGCAGTATTTGTTGACTGTCATGTGACTTGTAAAGAGACACTAAGGGCGCCGCCGGGGCTAAGCTAAGCTAAGCTAACCAGGCTAATAAGTTAACCAGCTATGCTAACCGGTTAGAGTGCCAGGCATGGTGTCAGGCTGGAATGCTGCTAGCTACGGTCTGTCTTACATGACGTCGGCTAATGGTTTTTCTTCTACTCTGTCGTATCGTGTAATACAACGCAGACAGTGGTGATCCACTGCCAAAGTTATCAAAATATACTGGCACTTCCTCTCACACCAGAGTGTTGTGTCTAAGTTGTGTTGCTCACTAAAGTCTGTCAGGAAGACGAGTTTACGCGGCCTGCCCTCCGCCGGCAGAGCCCGATATAACCGAAACACCAGCCCGATGTGAATGGAGCTGCCGCGGCTCTTCTCCCGGAGCAACGCCTTTCAATGACTACCAGACGTGGACAGCCGTTGAAGGCTATGCCTGAACTATAGTGTGTCCAGTAAAAACGATGAATAGCCTTGTTTATGGCGCTGGGTTAATAGGGATAACTGTTAGTCTGGATACTCACCCTGCCTATGTGCTTTTGGAGATTCCTGTCCAGGATGTGGGGGAGAAGTATGCCTGTGTGCGTCGGTAGCTCCGTTACAGCAAACTTCCGCCCCCGGGACTCGGTAGCCGCTCTCTTGAGGAGACAACCGGCCCGTTTTCTCAGCTTATAGAGGTGTTGGCTACCTACTTACTCTACAAACCACCATCTTACATTGAAAGGAGGAGAGAACAGGGGCAAGTATCGGCTACAACTCAGTGAGTCGGCGCAAATAGTCTTGATGTTACATGCATTGCATTATGGGTATTGTAGTCTCTGCTAGCAAAGCGTCAGACCATAGAAAACGTTGGGGGAAATTCGTATATTTTGCTAACATACATCAAGACAATCTTTAGCAAAGAAAGGTGCTTTGACTTGTGTATAAAAGAATGATGACAAAATCATTAAATAACTTGAATATCGGCACATATAAATAATCTATTCGTATTGCTTTAAAAAAATGCCCCCATTATATGCCTAATAGCCAAATAATATATTTACGAATAACTATACATTAATGTAATTTATTTGTTCTTCAAAGAAAATTAAAACAACTTTTGAGTCCCATGTTTGTGAAATAATACCCTTTCCTTTTGTATTTATTTATATATTTAAGGACAGAACCAGCCAAAGGGATTTAAAAAAGTTGTTATTAAACATAACTTGTAGGTGATTTAAAAATGTTCAATACATGATTCATTAATAGACAAGACAGCATCACCAAATATGCCTTTTATACATGATATAAAGCTGACAGCAATGGAAGTTACCACCTTAACATATATTTATAAAATACACAAGGATAACCCAATTTTCCACACAAATTACACTATAAGCCATTTACAAGAGAGACCCTGATAAGCAAGTTCAATGTTTGCATATGTTTAGAAATATTGAATAACAGTGTAACACAGTCTTATAATTCATTCCTTCATACTTTATGGTGTAAAGACTCATTATAAACAGTAGATGGAGACATTTGCTTAAATTAAAAGTGGCTTTCAACATATGACACAAACATTAGGCCACAGAGCAGAATACCAATATTTTTCTCTGCTGGTAAATTACATTGCATAGAAATTACATATATTTGTATCAGTTACAAAAATATGTTGTATTTGTTGTACCTTTTAAGACTTCTTCTTTTGTTGAATGAAACCTCTAATTAGGCTTGATTTGTGTTCAAATGTAACTGTAATTTTGACTTTTTACAACATATTATTGATATCTCCAATTTTGTATAAGCGGCAGATCTAATGGTGGTGGTATTAGCTTTAGCATTTTCAGTTAGTAGGGAAGGTATTTCCCAAAGTTAGTCTTTTCAGTATTATATTCCTACTGTGTGTGACTTGGCGTTTGTGGAAGCAATTTCATACTAGAAAGACAAAATCTTTGTAAAATACTAACCTGATTTGTCTAACTTGACTTCTGAAGCCTTGTGTTAGCATTAGCTGAACTTTGGAATGCAGATTTGTAGATCACTCACATTTGTATTGCACGACGAAGAAATATTATGAACAAGAATAACAATTTCAAATAGAAAAACATTTTCGCTGTACAAGAGGGTATTTTTCTAGATTTGGTCTGTAACTAAAGTTGCTGTATCAGCAATGGCCAAAGCCACATCCTTCAGAACCATAGATTTGTCTGCAACACGTAGCATCGATTTAAGACTTGCCCAGAAAACCTGCTGCTTCCGTTCGTCGTTCGGCCATTCAAGGTATGTCTGCTGCCTCAGTAAACTTCTAAGTCTCAAGAACTTCTTGGGCAGGGAGTCAGTTGGAATGGGCTCCAGTAGTATGAACACTAAAGAGTCCTGCTGGATGTTAACGGCTCTGTGCTGGGCAAAGAACAGCTCGTAGTTGCACCATTCACTTTGGACAAAATGTTTGGAGAGGATAAACAGCGTCTTGTAGCTAGACTCCACACAGTTGATAATGTTGTCTATGATCCAGTCACCAGGGACAAAGTCACGCTCATGAACGCAGAGTGAAAACCCGGAACCTTCCAGAGAGCGAACCAGCCGGCTGTCCACCCATCCCGAGTCCTGGTGACTGTAGGAGATAAACGCATGATACTGGAATGATACATTCTTTAACATGTTGGAGTTTTTCTTGCCTCTCCTCTTCACCCTGATCCAGACCCATAACATCTTTGTATACCAAACTCCGTCACATTTATAGAAAACCAGACCTATGGCAGCAGATATAATTATTAATACAGGGACAGCAACCGCAGCTTGAAGCCACATCTCACATGACAGCTCACTGGTTTTGTACTCTGAGAGGGACACTCCTGCAAAAGATGGCGGCGTGCTGCATGTATAATCTAAGGGCCAGTCCGCGAGCAAAGACTTGTTGAGAACACTGACGAACCAATAGGAGTCACATGAGCAGACAAATGGATTGTTTCCAGCTTTGAGGGTTTGAAGCTTGGAAAGTCCTGCCAACTTGGAAATGGATGTGATTGCGTTCTGGTCTACGTAGAGATTGAGCAGAGATGGAGCGCTGAGATCTGCAGGAATAACCTGGATGCTGTTGGAGCTGAGTTGGAGGTGTGTCAGCTTGTGAAAACGAGACAGATCCTTTTGCGTTATGGCTGTTATTCCCGTCTTTGACAAGTCAATCTTCTCAAAGTCCACCGACAGGTAATTAAAGACGTTGTTGCCCAGGTTATTGTTTGCCAGGCTGAGCTCAATCAGCTGAGCAGGCCAAGAGCAATCCCCGTCCAACGAGATGGAGTTGAAACTAAGGTCAAGAGACTCTAATGTCTTCATCTGATTTGTCTTTTCAGAGATGAAGGCAAGACTGTTGAAGCGGTTCTTGCTTAGATACAGTCTCCTGAGTTTGGGGAAGACTGAGGTGGGCAAGCAGAGAAACCACCAGAAGCCTGTATCCTTTAAGAGGTTATCGGACAGATCCAGTGTCTCCAGTGACGGCAGGACAGATAAGAGATTGCAGGGTAAAATGTTCAATCCGGTCCCAGAGAACTTTAAATAGGTCAGATTTGAGACAGCCTCTAAGCTCATGTTGATTTGGGGGTATTTGTATTGGTAATGCTTCACACCGTTGAAGGTAATGGAGCAGATATTGACCGAGTGATTTATGGTGCGAAACTGAAACCCGTCTGGTGTGTCTTCATTATAAGTTATGTTGACAAATGAGAGGTCATAAAGGTGGGAAAACCACACATTCTTCATAAACACCTCCATAAATGAACTGTTTATCCAAGTGTTTTCTATGGTGAGATTCTTTAAAAGTGGCATTGTTTTCAGGCTGTCAAAAAAGTTCCCGGTCACGTTACAGTTGTCTGGGAATAGAGTGATGATTCTCAATGATTTCGCTCCTGTCACATTCACGTCGGCAAGGAGGTTTTGAAACATACTGGCCTCCCCACAAAACGATGCAAAAACTGAAATTGTTTTAAGAGATTTCAGTTTTGCAAGGGCACCAGAATCATATTTTTGCCAGCGGATTCCTGCTCCCAACACCAAGTGACTCAGAGAAACGTTGGACAATGGATCAAAGTCATTGTAGTTTACCGACAGAGCAGTTGGACTACCCAATGACAGCACATCCAGATTTGCGAGGTTCTGAAATGATGCTGGAATTCGATAGCTCTTGTACAGATTGTAAGCCAAATCGAGGATTTTCAGCTGTTTCAATGAAATGTCAGGGACGATAGGTAAGTCATTGAAAGATATATTGAGAACTTTGAGTGCTGGTGTGTGACTGAACACACTGGGAGAAATCTCCTGCAGGCCACAGTGAGTTACCTTCAGACAACAAAGCTGGGACAGCCCAGAAAACGAAGCTCCGCTCAGTCTTCGGATAGAGTTGTGAGAAATGTCCAGATACTGCGTGTCGTCGGGTAGATTTGAGGGAACATTCGTCAGGTTTTGATTAGAGTAGTCTTGCATTCCTCTCCTCGATGTGACACACAGTATGAATCCCTTTTCATCTTCTTTTACAGCAACACAGTCAGTTTTAATCAGGGACAGGATGGCAATGGTCCCAATCAGAAAAGCTACGTTTGTACTGAAAAACATGAAAATAAAGAAGTAATTGATAGAAAATGGTATTTCAATATTAAAAACAAGAGGAAAAAGGGGCTTACCTTTGTGTGGACATGGCTTCAGAGATGGGTTTCCAGCAGTCCGAGTGTCGGGATCTGGCGTCTGCACTGTTTTGAGCTCTGACTTTTATACTCTGTAATCTGAAGAGCAGTCTATCAACTACTAAATCTCTGTTCCTGTTTCTGTAAATTCCTCTGTAAGGCAAGCCAAGTTTATTTATATAGCACCTTTCAACACAAGGCAATTCAAAGTGCTTTACAAAAAATGAAAGACATTAAGAAAATGGCATTTAAAATCAGTCATTAAAAAGCAAAGATAATAGTCTTTTAGTCCTAGAAATATTCTTTAGGTGATAGTAGTGTTAGAAATTAAAATCAATGTTTTATGGCATAATTTAGTCTAAAACATACCGTCAGTTTAAAAGCAGTCTTATGAAGAACTCATTGATTCCAGTATTGTGTTCACACCTTAAAAGGTGTGAAAGGAGGGATTGTTAGAAATTAAAATCAATGTTGATGTGGCGTAATTTGAATGAAATACACTATTTCATTTAAATCTGTTTTATTCTGAAAACCGAAGATTCACATGTGACTTCCGGTTTTTCCGCTGGTGAATTTCGTCATTTCCGGTTAGCATTAGCTTGTGGCGAAATGCTACGTTTTCAAACCGTGAATTGAAGGTGAAATAACGTGATGTTGTACACTAAACACCCTGAGTTTAACACTCATTTATTGACGCTGGAATGAGGTTTATTAGGGAATGTTTAGATGACCACAGACATCAGAGTGATGTAATTTAGCAGCAGAAACCGACAGGATTTGCATTGGACACGCCCCCGTCGACGCCGGCCAATAGGAGAAGACTACAGGTCTTACTGGTTTACATTGGACTGGCTCCAAATAGTGTTAAGATCTCTGGGGAGGTACGAGCCATGCTCTGTTTAGTAGTGATGACGAGATGAAGCCTCATGAAGCTTTGAAGCTTTCCAGCAAATCGGTTCGCTAAAAGGTTCATCTCATGAAGCTTCATCATGGGCTTCATGTGCTCACAAGACCCCCTGTTGGTGAACAGGTGTAAAACAGCCACATATTATTTGTAATCTTTGACATACTAAAAATACTGGAAATAATGATACAAAAAGGTAAAAGATGTCAAATGTATTTGTCATCCTGTATGAACAGAATTTTACACCAGTAAGTGTTTTAAAATGACTGTATATAATAATAAAAACAATGTGTCAATATAGTATCTTGTTGTTACATCTATACATAAATAAATGTAAATGTCTGCTGCCTTCTATAAAGACAAAAGAAGCAATATATGTTCGAAAACTGGCAAAACGACAAGTGTTTTCCTCTCACAAGGATCACACATCTTGAATCGAATCCCATGGCTTTGTATCTGTCAGAAGCTCGCGCCAAGATCTGAATCGCTTCCTGAAGCAGTCACGTGGTATCGACAAACGAGGCTTCGTTTGTCATCGATGACGTCACTGGCCCCCAAATGATACAAGCCTCGACACAGGCTTCACAGAAAGCTTCGGCGATTACTCGACACACGCTCCGAAGCCTCGGCTTCATCTCGTCATCACTACTGTTTAGCACTGGACTGGGTCCGTTCATGTTAGTTTATATGTTTGATGTGTTAAACCGGCGTAGTCTCGTTTAATAAAGTATATTGTGTTCTTAAGCCGAAAAGTATATTTTTGTGTGATGTTCTAAGCCGGAAAGATTGTGTACAAGATTGGTATAAGATCAGCTTTTAAGGTCAGCATCTATAGAATTTAGAGCTAAGATAAATGAAGTTTGTATTGGAGTGTTTCAAGCAGTGTGGTTTTCAATTGCATCAAATGTTCCCATTGTTCCCCTCCCCTTCCCCCAGTCACATGAGGTTAATGCTAAGCTAGTTAGCTAGCCAGTTGGCATTACTAGGTGATACAACTGGTAACTACTGGGATGGTGGATACACAGGGATGGTGTAGATGAACATTGAGAGTAGATTAAGTTGTTTTTGTTTTTCATGCTTTTCAAAGAAAGTAATTTGAACTTTATTTGGGTAAATAAACCGGAAGTAGGTTTATGAACCGGAAGTATTAGTTGATACATTTGAAAGGAGTTAAAAATAAAACAGCTCCCCTAGCGGACATAAGTGTTACAGTCAATACATTCTTCACCACACACAGATAAAGATTACATGTGGTTTCTCTGAATTGAAGTATTGTAGTTATGACATTTGCATAATTTCATAAACTTCAGAATACACTGTACACAGTTTATTTGAATTTTCATATTTTAAAGGTCAAAACCATACACTGTACATTTTTTATTTTTTAAATTTCTGATTTTAAAATTTGCATAATTTCTAATTTACTTTATTAATTTTTTATTAAAAAAAAAACTTAAAAAAAAGAATCCCAGATATTGAAGTTAAGTTCGGGTGACACGAAGGTGCTATTCAGTAGATTAGTGATTCATCTTTGATACATTTAATAACTATATCCAACTACTTAAGAAATATGTCACCAAAAGACACTAAGTTAAGAGCATTCTCAATGCCAGGCTCAACTGCAGATATTAAGGAGAGGGTAAACATCAGGTCAGATGCTATGACAGCGCCAAAAGATAGACAGAAGACATGGAACAGAATAGAGAAACTGTTCGAGCAGTGGCAAACGAGAGGATTGATTCCAGCAGATGATAAACCTGGACCAACGAAAGCCCATAGAAAAGCAGTAGTTGAATATGAGAATGGAGAATACCTACAACAGCAAGAGGCATGGATCAAAGCTGGACGACCCTCGTGGTATGGACCTGGAAAAAGCGCTATGAACAAAGCTGAAGAAAGAAAAGCTAGAGTTACAAGTCTGATACTCCATCTAAAATATGCCAGCAAGAGATTGACAACAAGCTTACATTTGGTAGAAGCAGCAGATCTGCCAGTAAATGAAGACACAGCAGAAATAACAGAAGAGGCTCCAGTTATCCAAACTCCAAAGCAGTATCCAAGCCTGACCGAAGTGCCTCCTCCCAACATATCAGAGAACAACCCTTCTCACCAAGCATCAATTCAAGCCCCAAATGTGAAAGAATTGGCGTATGAGGTCAACCAGCTGATGGAAGCAGAACTCATCAGAGAGGACGAGTTCAAAAGAAGAATGGAAGCAGAACTCATCAGAGAGGAAGAGTTCAACAGAAGAATGGAAGCAGAACTCATCAGAGAGGAAGAGTTCAACAGAAGAATGGAAGCAGAACTCATCAGAATGGAAGCAGAACTCATCAGAAGAATGGAAGAAAGACAAAGACAAGAACAAGAAGAAAGGAAAAGATGGGAAAAAGAGCAAGAAGAGAAAAATTACCGAACTGGTTGCTCTCCTGAACCAACACATTCTGCAGATGAAAGATTCCAAGAAATTAAGGAAGAAAGAAAACGACAAATAACTCAAAAATGGGGAGAATCTCAAACAAAACGCCGAACAAATTACTCTCCTGACAAAGACTATTCCAAAGGAGATGAAGATGACGACGGCAGTACACAGTTTGTAACCAGTAGACACTCCCCCTACCAAGAACAGTCACAGCAACGACGCAGATTTGCATCTCCCTCAGAGAACAATAGTAGGGACAAATACCCTGGGACATGCCCCAAAGCTGGAAGAACCAAGACCAGTGCACATACCTTCATGCCATTGATAGCGGCTGAGAGAGGAGGATTTGACTACCAACCATGGGCTCACAGGGACATGGAATCATTAGTGGCAAAGCTACCTCCACTCACCCAAGGAGGTCAGAAGTGGGTGAAAGATCTGGAGAAGTACACTGTCCAAGACCACCTGTGCTTGGGAGACATGAGGGCACTGCTTAGACGGATAGAAGGCAGACTAGAGGCAAGAGCAGTAGATTTCATGGCCAAATGCACCAACTCTCCAGATGACACTTCATTCAACAATATCAGGTCGAGCTATTGGGCTGCTATTCGTAGCATCTACCCGACAACACGCAGTTTACACGCCCTCAACAGCCTGAGAAAAGAACCGGGGGAGGACATGCATACCTTCCTGAAGAGATGTGAAGGAGTGTGGGAGGACTGCACTGGAGAACGACATGACGTTTCTCCGACTGTTGTAATGTTGTGGAAGAACGCGGTCATTAAAGCCCTTCCCCGATCAGTTCAGGTATGCCTGGAAGCCGTGGTGGGATTAGAAGCTAAACTCCCAGAAGAATGGAAACAACATCTCATTCACCACGACATGACATACCAGGCAACACAGAGGGAAAATGACGAAGTGATGAAAGCACTAAAACTAAGACTTTTGAAGATACAAGTAGCTGAGAAAGATGCAGAAGCTGAGAAAAATGCCGAAGCTGAGAAAAATGCCGAAGCTGAGAAAGAGGCCGAAGCTAATAAAAACAAGAAATCGACAAAGCAGATGGCCATACTAGCAGAGAAGGCAGGGCGAACACCTCCAACAGTTCAAACTCAGGAAGAACCAGAGAATCAAATGCAGAACCAACAAAGCGGAGGAAGAAGTTTCCAGAATGGTGGCTGCTACACATGTGGTCAGACGCAAGCACAGGTATACCCTCCCATACAACAAAAGGGACAATGGAGAGGAAAGCAACGATCAAGAGGGAGAAGGGATGATGGCTGCTTCATATGTGGTGATTGTAGACATTTGGCCAGAGATTGCCCCACTCAGCAATATCCACCACAATGTAGCCCCTCACAATACAGAGGAGAACCAGTGTTAGATATTAGGAAAATTGAGGCGGAAGCATATGCCAGGTCCATGAAGAATATTTCTGTTGGATCAGGTGATTGGGTGAAAGTAAAAATCCACAAGATTAACTCATTGCAACCTGTATGGAGTGGACCATGGGAAGTTGTAGAACGCACTGCAGATGCACTCCGGATCAGAGTTAACAAAGGAACATGTTGGCACTTTCTTGCAAATTGTGTAGCCGTACCGCCAGATTTCCAGAAACGGCACGGCAGTGAGAACTGATTTTGGAAAAACTGGTACAACAATGAGTAATTGAACATTTTTAGGAGTTGGCAGTTTGCAAATGTGAAACTCAAACTATAATCTGAAGATTCTGTTTCTTTTAGGACTGAAAGATGAAGAGAAACATTTATTTTCACTGAGGTGTTTACTGTGGAAAGATAATAATAATAATAATAATAATGGATGTAAAATTGCTATGTCCCTAACCAAAATGTAACTGAAAGTTTTCTCTCCTCCCCTCCCCATTTCAGGATTTTATTACACATGAGTTCATGTGGATAATGTATAACGTCAACATGGCTGTCAAATTCACAATTTAAATTTTTCTTTTAGGGATTGAAAGAAACCTTCTGCCCCAACCTAGATGTTCAAACTGAGCATTGAATGATAGTTTTAGAATTAACCTGCTCCATATCTGGGGATAAGATACTGTTTGATGAATGTTGACATGTTTCTAAATATTGATTGCATTTTGAACAGGTAACACAGATGCAGTGGCCAAGGGGCTACTGTGAGAGATGTAATTCCAGAATGGAATACCAAAGAAGTTGACCTGTGATAATGAAACAATTTTGTAATATTTTAACAGACATTAGAGTAACTGAGGTTTGAAATATAGAAAGAACATATTACAGTTAAGCTAAAACATAGTAATGTAATGACACAGAATTTAATTTAGACAACATCTTGTAACTAGCCTGGTAAAGAAATAGAAGTAAAAGCCATGGACTTTATTGTTTAGGTCATTATGGGGATATACATTGAATTTATAATAGAAAGACATTTGATGACAGTATGTTGGAATGCTGTATTCATTTTTCAGCTTGTAGTATAATAGACAGGTAGAAGCAGTATTGCCAGGTGCAACTGATGGGATTTCTGCACACGAGCCAAGCAGAGAATGACGTACCTTTTTATAGGACAGATACACCCAGGAAACCACACTCTGACAGCATTATGACTTCAGCTGTTTTTGAATCCATAATGAAATTGTTTACATAATGTTAGTGTGTGTCTTTACCACAAACAGGAATAGTTCATTGTTATATTTAGATTTGAAAAAGATTACAAGGATTTTATTTAGGAACAACACAGATGCTCATCAGACATTCCGAGCTATTGAAATATGTTATTTAGTTATTAAGATGTTTTATTTTGTTTGTAACATATGCCGAGTATTAAGATTCAGATATCAGCAGGTTCTGAATTATTATTCCTCTGTCCCACAACCAACAAGAATGTGGATGGGGAGAACTATATCTGATATAACCAGCAGAGATTCCTAAATCACACCAGAGACACAGTAAAAGGATGACACAAACAGTCAGATAAAAACAGACCGATAGAATAGCGCTAGACATTAGTTGAAAAAGGGAGTGTGCAACACTGAAGAGGATAGGATTGTTTAAATAAAGAGTAATATTTTCAGATAGTTTTATCCTTCTTATATTTTGTGAAAGAACAAGTGCCTTTACACCAGATACAGTATGAAGATGATATATATATGATGTGAAAGGAGGGAGTTCGACGTTTTCCATACCAAGCTAATTGCTGCTATTTTACGAAGTGATATTAAAGGTTTAAGCTAGAAGTTATGCACAAATGAAAAACTTTGCATTTATGATGAATATGTATTGTTACTATTTGTATTTTCTACCCTTTATGAGTTATGTACTATGCAAAGTTCAGATGAAGAACTCATTGATTTCAGTATTATGTTCATACCTTAAAGGGTATGAAAGGAGGGATTGTTAAAAACCAAGCTAATTGCTGCTATTTTGAAAAGTGATATTGAATGTTAAAACTAGAAGTTTAAGCACAAAGGAAAACTTATGTTGAAGACCAACCGAAGAATATTTTGTATTTTTGATGACTGTTATTTGAACCATTCCATTTTGATAGTATGTTTTTTATATGAGTTATGTACTATGCAAAGTTCAGATGAAGAACTCATTGATTTCAGTATTGTGTTCACACCTTAAAAGGTGTGAAAGGAGGGATTGTTAGAAATTAAAATCAATGTTTTATGGCATAATTTAGTCTAAAACATACCGTCAGTTTAAAAGCAGTCTTATGAAGAACTCATTGATTCCAGTATTGTGTTCACACCTTAAAAGGTGTGAAAGGAGGGATTGTTAGAAATTAAAATCAATGTTGATGTGGCGTAATTTGAATGAAATACACTATTTCATTTAAATCTGTTTTATTCTGAAAACCGAAGATTCACATGTGACTTCCGGTTTTTCCGCTGGTGAATTTCGTCATTTCCGGTTAGCATTAGCTTGTGGCGAAATGCTACGTTTTCAAACCGTGAATTGAAGGTGAAATAACGTGATGTTGTACACTAAACACCCTGAGTTTAACACTCATTTATTGACACTGGAATGAGGTTTATTAGGGAATGTTTAGATGACCACAGACATCAGAGTGATGTAATTTAGCAGCAGAAACCGACAGGATTTGCATTGGACACGCCCCCGTCGACGCCGGCCAATAGGAGAAGACTACAGGTCTTACCCGGGAGACCCAAGAAGGATCTCTCTCTCTCCTTGCCCCCAGCTGACCCGGACGCACGGGACCAACAGCTGGCAGGGGAAAAACCACCAACGAGCACATTTCTTTTGTAAACCACCGCATCTTTTGTGTAATTAAATGCTGTTAACTTGTATAAGCTTGCCTTGACTCTTTTCAGTCTCTCCTGCTCTCGGGGTTCAAGAATAACTAACAGTAGGCTGATTTAGTAATTGTTTTAGACTATTGAAACTCAGGTCAGAGTCCATGACTACACCTAGATTTATGGCTCTATCTGTTGTTTTGAACATTGCAGACTGAAGCTCAGCGCTAACTTTTATACGTTCTGCCTTGGCTCCAAAAACCATTACCTCAGTTTTTATCTTTGTTTAATTGGAGAAAGTTCTGACACATCCAGTCATTGATTTGTTCAATGCACTTACTCAGTGTTTGAATTGGAGCATAGTCTCCTGGTGAAATGGTTACGTAAATGTGTGTGTCATCACAAC